GAAAGAGTGGTGAGAGAGAATAAAACAAATGCTGTAGTTGCAGCTGCCCCTGAAGCAAGGTTGTTTTAATCTGAATAGCCAATCAGATCTTCAGTGGCTAATTAGAAGCCCTGTTGGGCAGGAGCCCCATTTGCCCCCCCCCTTTCTAAAAACACTTGGTGGGTGGCAAGAAAGGTATCAGAAGGCATCATGGTGCCCAAAGGTACCACGCTGGAGACCCCTACAGTACTGTTAACTAAAAAAAGTGGTATTATACTAGGTAAATTGCAGTTACTGGACCCAATGGTAGAAGAAGAAGAGAAAAGATTGGGTTGGATTTATACACCGCCCTTCACTCGGAGTCTCAGAGTGGCTTACAAACTCCCTTCCCCTCCCCACAACAGACACCCTGTGAGGTGGGTGGGGCTGAGAGAGCTCTTTCAAGAACTGTCCTTGAAAGAACAGCTCTGACAGAACTATGGCTTGCCCAAGGTCATCCAGCAGCTGCAAGTGGAGGAGTGGGGAATCAAACCCGGTTCTCCCAGATTAGAGTCCGTGCACTTAATCACTTAATCAAACCCGGTTCTCCCAGATTAGAGTCCGTGCACTTAATCACTACACCAAACTGGCTCTCTGGGGTCCTACATCCCTTCTACCGCTTCTTCTACTAGGCCAGCGCATACCCACCTCCCATGCTGCTTTATCCCATGCCAAGTTTGTACCTTCATATGCTCCAAATGTCAGGTACATTAACTGCTGCATTTACTAGGGTAAATCCCTACGTTTGCCCACTGGGAGTTGCCTTGTTAAAATTTTGCCAATGTGAGATGATAAAACGGTCATTTTCTGGGTTCGTTTCCTTCCCCTGAGTTTCAAGAAGTTAAAACTCTGGGTGGGTAAGACTGTAGCTCGCATGGATGAAAACACGCGCATGAACACTGAGGCACCACACAGTGAACCGTCTGCTATTTTGCACACTGCTTGCCGTGCGTTTCAAGCTGCTGATGAAATGTAGCAAGACAGTTCTGTTTTCAACCATTCCTTTAACCAAAAGAACAATCACTCTCCTGGCTTTTGAACTCATGAAAAGGCAGGCTATTGCTGAATTATTACAGTACACAGCAGGCACTGAACTGCCTTCAATAACTCATAAAGGTGAAGGAGTAGCAAAAATGTTCCCAGTGTGAAAACAGGGATGTTTATAAGGACGTCCCTTTTTTGTCCGCGAAATGTTGGCAGCTAAGAACTCCCTCCCCTCTCCCTGTGAGACAGTCTATTCATCCTGAGGTAATTAAACTGGGCCTTAAGCAGTGAAACACCAGGTTCATAGCCTTACCTGTAAGGATCTGGAAGATTCCAGTGGCATAAAACAGGCTTCCCCGCTTCATGGTATAGAGCTGGCACATGAAGATAATGAAGGCGGCACTGGAGAAGAGGAGGCTTAAAACCATGAAGGCCTGTACTGCATAGAGCCAGTCTGGAGAGAAGGGGGGGGGAGAGAGAGGCAGGAGACTGTGTGAATGCCGCCCTTCTGGGGAGCAGGTGACTTAATACAGAGATCTTCCCTATGAGATGTGTCGTCCCTTCAGGTACTTACCACTTGTAGAAACTGACTGGCAGCTCCAGACCTGGGTGTCGTTATTAAATATGCAGTCATACCAGATGTTAACTGTATTGTCATCAGGCAAAACCCACCAAGACTGGAGGCAGAGGGGAGAAAAAAAAGGAAATTACAAGGGAGATATGGAAGCCACAATTTTAGCCAGCCTGGTTTCCTTACTCATCGTCCAAGCGAGTACAGCATCTTGGTAGGCTGGCAATCTATTAAAGTTTGGAGGGGTTTTTTTTAACCAGGGTGGGGTGGCAGCGGCAGAAATGACTAACAGGGTATATATGGACAAGCACGCCAATAAAAACCTGTGCGAGTCAGCAACTTTTGTGGACTTATTTGCAAGACTGGTGTCATTGTTCCTGTTAGGGTGGCCAGATGTCCTCTTTTTCGGCCCTCTTGAAACAATCAGGGATCTGATTCTGCGCAATAAAATTGGCCGAAGTTTTTTTCCTTGAATTTTTTTTTTTGGTAAGCATTTGAGTGACAGTCTTGTCACTCAAGAAGCGAAGTTCTGCCTGCTGCCCTAGACAGAACTGGCACTACAGTGAAGTGAATTTCTATTTAAAGTGATGGTAACAGCATAAATTTATATCTATGAATAATATTGACATATGCAAATTCTGTGTCTCCCCTCCATTCTCTTTTTTGAGGAATCTTGTTCTCTTTCGTGGTCATCTGTAGATGGCCAACCTAGTGCTAATTTGAATATGACACATACCACAGCCAGAGGGTTTTCTGCACATTATTTAACAGCAAAACTCAGTCTGTGGCACAGTCAGGGTTGTCAACCTCCAGGTGAGACCTGGAGATCTCCTGGACAGACTACAGAGCTCAATTCCCCTGGAGGAAATGGCAGCTTTGGGGGACGGCCTCAGTTACATTACATCCATAAAGAGCTCCCTTCCTCCCCCAAACTCCACCCTCCACAGGCACCCCTCCCCCCCAAATCTCCAAGAAATTCCCATGCTGGAGTTGGCAAACCTACATGGAGATAAATTGGGGGGCGGGGGGGAGAGAAGAAACAGCCAGTGTTGGGAGAAGGGTTAAACGGCTTCACCCACTGCCCGTGCGTTTGTGTTATTCTGAGGGCCAGGAATCCCACATCTGCCTCACAGCATGTTATTTCCACCCTCAGCCACGCAACGGAAGTATTAAGGAATTCAGATACAAAAGGGCCTGCGTTTTAGTACTTCCTTTTGCTTGGAATCTAGGCATAGCCTCAGGTCTGAAATATGAAATTAAGACCAAAAGAAAAAGAAAAAGAAGTAAGATGCCTCCAAAGCAGAAGCAGAATTCTTCCTCACAGAACAGCACATAACTTATGTTAACGGGCACACCATTCCGTTTTCATTTTCAGCCGGCTGTCAGCTCTGAGGGAAATGCTTGTCAGGGCTTAATGAAGGCAGGGATGTACACACAGCCCCCGCTGCAGAATAAATTGGGCCTCCGCCCCCGACACAGGCTGAGACACAGCCTCTGGCACAGTTGTCAATTTAAGACCAACATCAACAACCAAAATACAAAACACCTTTCTTAAATGGAGGAGATGGAAGACTCTGGGTCAGGGCTGGGCAAGGGAGCTGCCAGATCAACTCTTTGAAAAGCAAAGTTATCCATGTGGATTGTTTAATTGTTGTTTTATGGATGGAGTTGGAGATGGGACCTGGAAATGGTGGGGTTTGAGGAGGGGAGGGACTTCAGTCGGGTATAAGGCCATAGAGTCCAACTTCCAGAGTGGCCATTTTCTCCAGGAGAACTGATCTCTGTCGCCTGGAGATCAGCTGAAATAATGAGAGATCCCCAGCCACCACCTGGAGGTTGGTGACACTATTTAGGAACCAGCACAATAAACTCAAGGCCCAAAGAGCAAGTCCTGGCCAGGACAATGGGAATCCACAATCTGTCAGTAGATTTTGGGCCAGGTTTTGGACAGGAGGGTATTTCACCTTTCCTAGGAGAAGGACAGAGCCCATGAAGATTCTCCTGCCTTTTTTAATGGATTTGGATACCACTGACCACAGCTTCCAAAAAATGCCTCTCATATTCAAGAGTTCGGTGTTGCAGTGACTCCACTGCAGTGTGAGAAGGAGGTCGAGAGCCACTGTTCTGCCCTGTTGAATATTTATACCTGGCTTTTCTGCTCAGCGGGGATCCCAAGTGGCACAGAACACTGTTCTCTCCTACTGTATTTGGGGTTCCCAACATCCAGGTGTGGACTTGGAGTTCTCCTGGGATCATACTACAGAAGTCAGTTCCCCTGGAGAAAATGGCTGCCTCTGTGGCATTATACCCTATAGAGATCCCTCCCCTTCCCAAATCCCACTAGGTGCCACCCTCCAAATCTCCAGGAATTTCTCAACCCACAGTTGGCAACCTGAACTCCATTTTAGCCTCACAACAACAATCCTGCGAGGTAGGTGAGGCTAAGAGAAAGCCAGGATTCAAACCTGGGTCTCCCAGATCCTAGTCTGATACTCTAACCACTGTGCCATGCCAGCTCAGAGGAAATTCTCAGGAATCCATTCTGTTGGTGAGGGATTTTACCATCTACATAAAACTGCTGGGAGAGGTCCTCCCCATGGAGGTAACACCCAATTCCCCATGTCTTTCCTCTCTTCCCCATCTAGGGCAATGTCATCCCTGCAGTCAACGATGGATTAGATGGCAGTGCATCAACTCAAACTCAGTCTCAACAAAACAAAAGTGATGTCAGTATGGTGGGGCAAAGGACAAGCTACAAGGGGAAAGGCCTGTCCTTAAAAAAATCAGGCCTGCAGTCCGGGAATCCTCTTTGGATTACCAGGTTCTAGCAGCAGCCCATGGTTTCATTTTTGTAAAAGCTTTGGCTGATTTGCCAGCAGCACCCTCTGCTGGATTACCAGGACCTTCCCACTGTCATCCGTGCCTAGAGACCTTTTTATACTACGGGGTGTGCAGTTGCGCTTTTGGGGCCACTTCAGAAACTTTCACCAGTGATGGTGTAGTGGTCAAGAGTGCTGAATTAGCATCTGGAAGACCTGAGTTCAATTTTCTGCTCGTGCCCTAGAAGCTCGCTGGGTAGCCTCGGGCCAGTCACACCCACTCAGGCTAACCTACCTCACAGGGTTGTTGTGAGGGTAAAAAGAGAGGAGGAGACTGATATAAGTGGCTTTGGGTCCCCACTGGGGAGAAAGGCAGGGGACAAATTAAATAAATGAATAAATAAATAAATGATGCAACTGGACTTTTATCTGATGCAAGCAAAAATGAATGAACCTATTTCCCTAATCCTGGGAAAGATGCTGCGGCTGCCAATGTGTTCCTGTGCCCAGCTCCAAACACTAAATGGTTTGGGTACAGGCTATCTTAGACAGTGCCTATTTCCACTGGCCACGCCCCCAACCATGCAGACATGTGCTCAAACACCACGCACGCATGTGCACACACACAACGTGCTGAAACCAACAAACAAGGCCCTGCTTCAAAGTCCATCACCCATAAAGGTCATATTGGATTCTACACACAGCACAGACTTTTCAGTGGTGGCCCCACAGCAATTTGTAATGCCCTTCCCTGGGATATAAACCTTGCTTCCCCTTTCCAAACATTTCAAAAGAGCCAGAGAACATTCTAAGACACAGTAGCCCTTTAGTTGACATTTTTAGATTATGAGTGCTAGACTTTTCATAATTGCTGCCATTGTGACATCCCAAGTTATACCACTTTGCTGCATTTTGCTATGATGTTGTATTTTATTTCTTTTAATTTACTGTAATTTGGTTTTACCCTGAAAGTGGATGAAAAGCAGCTTATTTTTAGTATTTTTTAGTATAGTATATGTGCTGCCGAAGCGAGCACGAAAAGCAGCTTATAAAAATGATCAGGAGCAGAAATGCCTAATGACTCAGTTTGCAGGGGCTTCTCTGTTCTCCAGACAAATGTTTGGGGGCCAAAATAAACGAGAGATGGGTCAGCTCCGTAATGAAGTTAGCATGGCCTGTCCAAAAAGCACAAGCCACAGTGACACAATAAAATCCACACGGTGATCAACAGCTTCTCTTCCTTAAGAGTAAAACCAGGAGTAGAGTTTCTGCCTCACTTCGACTAAAATCTAGTAGAACCCAGAGAACGTTACTTTGGGGACCAAATCTGGCTCGTGGCACTTGACTTTTTAATTTCGCAGATTAAAACTGGCGAGACAGGAGCCGGCTCGTGGGCGTGCTTACCTTGTCCAGAGTGGCTACAAAAAGTAAGATGAGAATGAGGACGTGGAGGGCAGTGACTGCGAAGAGGAGGAAACTCATCTTGGCGGCTGGAGAGAGAAGGTGAAGCTGAGTTGAAGAAAGGCCTTGCAAAGGGAACACATTTCCCCACCCCCAATCTCAGGGTGAGGGTTTGCTAGATCTGATTATAAGTTTTCCCCGAGTTCTGGTCACTTCTGCTGTAAACGACTGGGCAGTTCTTGCCTGTGCCCCCACCTGGCTGTACCAAATCCCATTCCATATAGAGATCCAGAATCCCCGACTTCTCCCTGCCACAATCTTCCATTCTACTAACAGACAACCTGGCCTCAGTTGTAACCTTCTGGTCACCATCCCCCCCCCCCCCCCCCCCCCAAAAACCAGGAGTAGAGTTTCTGCCTCACTCTGACTAAAATCTGGTAGAACCCAGAGAAAGTTACTTTGGGGACCACATGTGGCTCATGGGCACTTGACTTTTTAATTTCACAGATTAAAACTGCAGAGACAGCTCGTGGGCGTGCTTACCTTGTCCAGAGTGGCTACAAAAAGTAAGATGAGAATGAGGACGTGGAGGGCAGTGACTGCGAAGAGGAGGAAACTCATCTTGGCGGCTGGAGAGAGAAGGTGAAGCTGAGTTGAAGAAAGGCCTTGCAAAGGGAACACATTTCCCCACCCCCAATCTCAGGGTGAGGGTTTGCTAGATCTGATTATAAGTTTTCCCCGAGTTCTGGTCACTTCTGCTGTAAACGACTGGGCAGTTCTTGCCTGTGGCCCCCCCTGGCTGTACCAAATCCCATTCCATATAGAGATCCAGAATCCCCAACTTCTCCCTGCCACAATCTTCCATTCTACTAACAGACAACCTGGCCTCAGTTGTAACCTTCTGGTCACCATCCCCCCCCCCCCCCCCCCCCGAGGACCCGAGGACCCAGGAATCTTACTTCTCAAATACACACAAAACTGTTCTCAGTTGTACCCTTATTACTCCAACCTCACTGGGTTGTGTTGGGAACTGTCCCCGGATGTCCGGCTTAGGAGACCCTCCTTAGATGCTAGATATTTCTCCCATTAACCCTGGAGAAGCCAGGATCCGGCTTCTTCCACCCAGCTCACATTCCTGTGGCTGCAGGCCCTGCCTAATGGGATCCAGATGTTGTAGAGTCATGTGAGCTCCAGGCACGCCAGGGGTGGCGGTAGCACTGCGTTGTCATCCCCCTTGGTTTTACCGAGGGGCCCCTCAAATGACTTGTCAAATGGCAAAGGGGGAATCCTGGTGGTATGGGAGAAATTGCAGAGTGGCAAGGGGGGGAAAAAGCCAAAGGAGTTCTGGAAGCTCAGAGGTTCTGGAGGGGAGAGGAGAGAGACGCCTCCTGTGGGTTCCTACTGAGCTCTGTTCTCAGTGGTTAATTTTTCAAAAGAGGAGGGGCAGCTCATCTTGGCTCTCTGACAGTCCTACCTGGATGATGCATGTGCTTGCGAGTACGGTTGTCTCATTCACACATACACGCTTCACAGCGGCTTTTAACTTTTTGGGGAAAGGATCTCCTGGCATCTCATCTTGTTTGGCCCTTAAAAACAAAACCTCTGGAGTGTATGCATTTAAAAAGAAAGGTGTGAAGCAGGCCCCTAGGGTTGCCAGCCTCCAGGCGGTGGCTAGAGATCTCCTGGGATTACAAGTGATCTTCAGGCAAAACAGACCAGTTCCCTCGGAGAAGATGGCCGCTGCGGAAGCTGGACTCTATGAAGTTATATCCCATTGGAGCCCCTCCCCAAACCCAACCTTCCTTAGGCTCCACCCCCAAATCGCCAGATATTCCCCAACCTAGAGGGGGCAACCCTAGCAGCCCCATCATTCAATATTCCAGCACTGGAAAACAGGCACTTGAGCTGACTCAAAGGGGCAAATCAAGCCCTGCCAAATCTCCTTTTATTAAAACCTGTGCCATCTTGTTCCTAGACTGTCATCCATCCATCCATCCATCCATCCATCCATCCATCCCTCTCTCTCTCTCTCTCTGAAAAGATGCCCTTTCAGAAAACACAAGAATCGCAACTTGCAGCTCATCCAGAGTCAACCTGCTCCTCTCCCAAATTCTCCAAGAGTCCTTGATTCTGCTATATGGTAATTCAGGGGTCATTTTGTAGAAAAAGAGGTGCAGAAGCTCATTAGCATAACTTATTAGCATAACTTATTTGTATATGCCACACACCCTGACATCACCGGAAGTGTGTCAGAAGGCAACACCCACCGCTCAGGCTCCACTGGACTGTTTTGGATTGCTAGCTATTGGGGGGGGGGGGACGTGCAGATCTGCCCTCAGAGGAGGGAGAGCTTGTACCTGAATAAAACTTGGTCTTAAAGGACAACCCTTTCATTTTATTTTAAGATAATATGGAAAAGGATAACCAGAAAGACGGGATCATGGGTCTGAGCTCGAGGGTGGCATAAAATATACTAGCTCTGAGAGGCATGAGTACTTGTGTCGCGGCTTAATCTATTTCTCGGCTATTTTGGGGCTTTATAAACCGCCCTGTGGTTGGCTTTCATTCCATTCCACTTCCTCTACTGTGTGACAAAGTGACATAGGCTTTTTTGTTTCTTTGCATTTCTGTAAACCGAATTATATGAGCTAAAATTTACACTTGATTTTTTTTAAAAAAATAGTTCTCTGCTTCTTATAGGTCTCATATGAACAACATTTATACACAAATCATTCCAGACTAAAAAAGGCATTCTCTAATCTCACTTGTGCAATCCAATACACGTTTACTCTGAAATACGTCCCAATTGGGTTTACTCCTAGATAAGTGGGCACAGGACAGCTGCAAAAACCACCAAAATTGTACACCTTCACTGACGTTTCCTTGACAATGTTGTCCTAGGGTGGATTTGGCCTTGTGGGTAACCAACATAAGCTGTGCAAGAGCTCAACTGCTAAAACAAACTTTCTTGCAAGAGTTCAGTTTCCCTGCATGAAGTCTTAAATCAGCCCAGTCATAAGCAAGGACACACAAAGTGAGGTTTGCAAACTTAGTGGAATTTATAAGCAGCACAGAAAAAGACTGCACACTGCAATCCTAAGTAAATTGACTTATATGTAAACCGCCAAATCCAATGAGTCTTACTCTGAAAAATGTGCACTGGATTGCAGCTTTAGGCAACGGGACTTTTAAGTAAGGATGCCAAGGACTGGTTGCTTAGTTTACTCACTAACCACATGCGATCTTTTAAGGATTCAAGTTCATCTTTAAAAACTCTATGGAAGGGAACCTGCAGTAATCCAAGTAAGTAGATCACTTTCACAGCAGGCTGGCACTAAGAAATGGCTTCTCCACCTCTATTTCTGCCACGTGTGTGAATGCTTTTCAGTAGCAATGCATCTGAAGGTAAAGCACAGGCCAGACACGAAAACAAGAGCTCAGTGCCAGAGCAAACAAACAACAGGCACCCCTATTAACGGTCCCAAACTCACACTTTCCCAGCTCCCTGCCAGATGCTGACAAGTTTCTCTTCCACCCCAATCCAAACACATCATCGCCCAGTTCGGTGGGGGCGCGGGGGGTTTCTCTATTAATTAAAAACGTGCGTCGTTCCCGCCCCGCCCCCCAGCTGAAACAGTGAGCACCTCTAAAGGAAGGGTTCCTGGACTCCTGGGCAATTTCGCAGGGGAGAGGAGGGAGAGGTGGGGAGAGAGGGAGGGGTTTGGGGAGGGGAAAGGGGGTCTTAATGGATCAGAGCCGAGGGAGGGGCGGGCAACCTGTATAGGGAGGGGTCTCCTGCCGCTTTCCCAGCAAACAACCCAAGCCGATGCGTGCCTCGTTGCTACTCGTTTTCACAAACTTGTCAGCTCTCTCCAGCCTACTTTTTCTTCCCCAAGCACCACTCTGGGGGTGCGGGAATGCCAGCGCATTGGAGGTCCCGCTCCTTTCCCGGAGGGACTAGAAGTTCTGGATCCCACCTCCCGGCCCCCAACCTCCACGTCTCCCTCCCCCCGCCCGCCCCAATCTCCCGACGTTGTGGCAGCACCCACCTCCTCGCCTCCCTGCGCTCTGGGTACCTTGACGCGCGGATGGAGAGGCCGAGGCACAGGCGGGCTGCCCCTCCGCTGCTTTGGCTCTTGCGGTCGGGAAAGTTTCTTCTTCTGACTCCGGCGTGGGGGGACGACGACGACGACGACCCGCTCTAGTCCATCCGCACCACGCTTAGCCAGCCCTGCCCTTGGCACCGCGCCACGGGGTGGGACCAGGGAGCGCGTGGCTGGCTGACGGCCCCCAAGGACGGAGCGCCGAAAGGGGTGGGTAAATGGGGAGGGAGGAGGGCCTCCGCTTCTTTCCCAAAATGGTGCCCTCCTCCTCCTCCTGGGTGTTGTGCCTGTCTCCTCCGGGGCTGCCGCTTTCCTTCCTGGCAAGTCCCCCGCCCGTGTCTTTTCGCAGCTTCACGGCAGGCAGACTCGCAGCATGCGGGCAAAAACCTCCATTCCATCTCCATGCCAGTGATGCACAGATCTGTGCCCCAGAATACACCAGGGCCAAAAGAAGAAAAAAGAAGTACCTGTTGAATTTCTGTCTCCCATGCAGCTCCTAAAGGTGGGAGATAAATGACAAGAACGTCGTTCATGTAAAGGGGCCTGTACCCGGGGGTGACTTCAACCATATTGGCTGTCCTATCTGAATATTTCCCACTGCCCTTTTTGCTTCCTTTCCAGTCACAGAATATTAAGGTCCCACAGAATGGCATGGGAATAGCATAGCATAGCCCAGTCTCATTTGTTCCTCCAAGGAACTCAGGGAAGCTTGCATGGTCTTTCCCATCCTCCACTTTATTCCCACGACAACCCTGTGAGGTAGGTCAGGCTGAAAGTGTGACTGGCCTACTAGGGCATGCTGTGAGTTTCACGGCCAAGCGGGAATTTTAACCCAGATCTTCCAATACTCTATTCATACCACCACACTGGCTTTCGGAGTTCCCCTTGCTCACAGAAACCTTTGGGGGCAACGCCCCAGTCCTGAGCAAGGCTCTGCAGCCGGGAACCTGTCCATTTGGTGATTTCTGCACATCAGAGGGATCACAGCAGGGCTGCTGCCAACATCATTTTTTGCCAGATGGAACTGCCACATTTCCAGGTGGGGCTTTGAAGAAACGAATGGAAAATCAATACAGAAGTCTCGGCAAGCCTGTCGCCTTGCTCAAGTGTTGGTGTATTTTTAGTGTTTAGCCTCAAGAATCTATAAACTGAATGAGGTTGGTTTTTTTTTTTAAGGTTTTTACCTGCTTACAAAGAACATCTTCAAATAAATAGTACGTTCCTTAAGGTTACCTCAAACACTGTTTAAGCACCCTTCCATGCAAAGAGCCACAGCATTTCCCCCCTTCTCTTGCTGTCTTTCCGGATTGCTTCTGCATGATGATCTTGAAAAATCCATTCTGAGACAGTGGGACTCGTGAGTGGGCAGGTATGAGTGGATCAGGTAAGTGGGAACGTACAAACCAGAAGTGTTGCTATTCTAAAGACAAGCCTTCATTCTTTACATAGAAAGAGTTGTGGGCACAAATTAAAGTCTGGTTTTTTTCAAAGAAATTATTGGCGGCAGGAGGGGGCCAAGCAGTGTTCAAGGTGGGGCAGTGTACCCTCTGGCCCTGCCTTTCCTACAGAACTGGATCGCACCCTGGCAAGATTGTGGATTCCAGGGAAGAATCCCTGGAAACAAGGACCACTGGAAACAAAAAATGTATTATAGTAAAGGTAAAGGTTCCCTTGCTCGAAAGCCAGTCGAGTCCGACTCTAGGGTTGCGGTGCTCATCTCCGTTTCAAAGCCAAAGAGCCAGCACTGTCCAAAGACGTTTCCGTGGTCATGTGGCCGGCATGACTAAACACCAAGGTGCACGGAATGCTATTACCTTCCCACTGAAGTGGTCCCTATTCATCTACTTGCAGTTTCTTGCTTTCGAACTGCTAGGTTGGCAGGAGCTGGAACTAGAGATGGGAGCTCACTCTGTCATGCAGCACCCGGGTCTCGAACTGCTGAACTACCGACCTTCCACAGCCTGCAGTTCAGCATCTTAACCACTTGAGCCACCGCAGCTATGTATTATAGATGGGATCTAATGAAGCAACAAGAGTTCTGTCTAAATAAAGGCTTACTATGATGCATTTCCAGAACCTGGTATCAAAAATGGGGACCCATTAACTAAAGGAATAATAAAAAGCACCTAAGCATGTACAGAGTGTTTCACCGATAGGCCATCACAACCAGATCCCCCCTATCTTTAACAACATTCACAAGATATGTACCATTACAATGTGAGAGTCTTCAAGGCCCTTTGGCCATCTCATGTGGAAAATTCCTTTTTTGTGGCGTAACCAAATGGGCTGTTATATCCTGTGTAACTGAACAACAATCAGATGGTGCAAGCCACCCTATGGAATACAGCGGGATTTAACTAGAAGGACCGCAAAAGAAAGGAAAGAATAAAGGATGATTTATTAGGATTTTTAAAAAAGATCTAACCCACCTATCATGTGGGCACTCAAGGAGAGTGCAGTAGCCATTAATTAACATGGCGTAAAAGATCGATGCAACGAACATGAAATTAAGGAAACTCCAGAGGACCATGGAAGACAGGAGGGCCTGGCATGATGTGGTCCATGAGGTCGTAGAGAGTCGGGCTCGACTGTGCGACTGAACAACCACCACTTAATGGATGGTGCAAGCCACCCTATGGAATACAGCGGGATTTAACTAGGACCACAAAAGAAAGGGAAGAATAAGGAACAGCTAGACTGAGTTCTCAATGTGAGTGTTTATTGATCCACTTAAAAAAGGAGAGAGAGAGGCCTAGAGGCAGAAATGAAAGCAATGAGGATTAAAGGGTTTTTCCTCCCACATATGTTTGATGCATGCTTAAGAAAGAAACTAGGATGATTCATTGGGATTAAAAAAAAAAGATCTAACTCACCTGTCATGTGGACACTCAAGGAGAGTGCAGTAGCCATTAATTAATATGGTGTACTTAAAGAACGGTGCAAGCCACCCTATGGAATACAGTGGGATTTAACCAGAAGGACTGGCAAAAGAAAGAAAAGAATAAGGAACAGTTGGATTAATTGAGTTCTCAATGTGTTTATTGATCCACTTTAAAAAGGAGAGAGAGAAGCCTAGAGGTAGGAATGAAAGCGTAGCGTGAGCCTGAACAGTCATTTTCCATCCTCAAAGATCTCCAACAACAGCCCTAGTGTACACATGCGACAGGACAAAATGAACTGGTAGAATCCTGAGGGGACAGAGTAGATTATACCACAACAGGCTGCAGGTGGGTGATACCAGTTTCACCCCTCCCCATTAAAATAGTCCTTGAAAGTCAATAATTGACTCCTCAGGGAGATTCTAGCTCAGCCTCCCCCCTGCTGTGAACTCCTCAGGGAGAAAGATTCTAGCTCAGCCTCCCCCCTGCTGTGCTATACCCCCTGGCGGAGATTTTCTTTTTTTAGACACAGGTAAACCAAACCCTGTGATCTGAAGTGGCAGGATCCATTCTGAGACCTCAAGACACTACCCACATTCTACTTTATGCCTTATAGTGCTGCTAACTCAGAAACTGGCCCTCATTTTAATTGAAGTCTCACAGTCTGAACACTAAAGATGATACATGGGCACCAGAAAGTGTTCCTCCACATTACAAAACCCAACTCTAAAGTCTGAATGTACAAGAAAAGTCACTTGCAAGATTCAGCTCCAAATTCAGCACCAGACAGAACAGCCCAACTACAATAGTCACTTCACATCCAGGCATAATCCAACCAAAGTTAGTATGAACATTTTACTTGTGAAATGTAATTTACGCTTGAAAAAATCGTTCCTTAGCTTCCGTTCCCCATCTGTAAAACGGGACTAACAATAAACTGGTGAGCATCAGTACATGTTGCTGCTTGCCCTTAGTCTGGGGAGGCTATAAATTTAATTGAAGCAGGTGTGAAGATACCATTTGCAAATAGTTTGGCACACAGTCTACACCAGATTCTTGTCAAATGACAGCTGAGGTCAGCAGGTGAGGTATGCCACTCTATAGGCTATATGTGACTATCACTATGCAGTGCTATGTGCAGTGACTAGCTCAGACTCTCACCAATTTCAATCCTGAAAATTTTTAAAGGCAAGAGTTGCAGGAATTTTATCTATAAGGATACTGTATTTGTAAGAAGTTTATAAAGCAGTGGTGGCAAACCTATGGCACGGGTGCCAGAAGGTGGCACTCAGAGCCCTCTCTATGGGCAAACGTGCCATCGCCCCAGCCAGGCCCAGACCATCATTAAAGTGTCAAATTCTTTGCCAAATAATTTTAAGTAAATGAAAGCATTTGGGATTGCTTTCCTTACTTTGTTTGGATCATCTTAAGTTAATGTATGAGTTGTTTTTTCTAAAGTAAAACCTCAGTATTCAGGTTAAATTGCCGTGTTGGCACTTTGCGATAAATAAGTGGGTTTTGGGTCACAGTTTGGGCACTCGGTCTCTAAAAGGTTCGCCATCAGTGTTATAAAGGATTGCCCCCAGGACGCACAGTACTATGAGCTTTCCCAAAGCAGTACTCAGTTATCCCCATATAGGAATGGCAGTACCGTTATCCCTGAGGCTGCCCTAAAACTGAAACATCGGATAAGGAAAGCCCGGTAGACATCGGGAAGAGCTGAACTACAAAACTGTGGCTGCAGCGGTTATTTCCTCTCCCTATTCCCAAGGATGGCATGCATTTTTATCTTTTCTGAAGATCCTCCATACACACCCTTGCAATACTGAGGACTAGAAACCCCGGCGATGCAACCCTTCTTCCCTTCTCAGGATGATGAAAGGCTGGAAACTTCCTAATTTGTAAAAATGGGATCCGACGCTCTCTCGATTGTAACAAGACTGGTGTATCGGTGGAAGGCAGAGGGTTTGCCTGGGAAGAAGGGAAGTTACATTTTTGCCCGGTGGAGCAGAAAATCAAAATTTCCGCTCGCTTCTCGTGGCAAAGGTAAAGGTTCCCTTGCTCGAAAGTTAGGGTGAAAATGGAGACAGATGAAGATGGGTAGGCGTGTCTGCAGCAGCAGAAAAAAGCAAGAGTCCAGTAGCACCTTTAAAGACTAACGAAATTCGTAGCAGGGCGGGAGCTTTCACGAGTCACTGCTCACTTCTTCAGAAGGGCGTTAACAGTTTCCCCTTCTCCTCCACCCCGAGTCTTCTTCCTCCAGCCTTTCAACTTCCTCTCTATCACGGCCCCATCATCTTCCCCCTCCCATCACCCCCCCCTTGCAAGCTGCCTTTCCGAAAACAGTCTCCATGGTAACGAGCGGCCGCGGGGCCCAAACCGAAAAGGGCTGTGGTTTTACAATAGGCATTCGTGATGGAAAGTTGCCATGGCAATCCTCTGGCTCCCTCCCTTCCGTTCCGGCGCCCGCCAACTACAAAGTCTCGCACTGCGCATGAGCGCCAGACTAGACAGGAGGGGGGGAAGGAGGGAAACTGTTAGGCTTGCACATGCGCAGTGGGAATGCAGGTCTGTAAGGTAAGAAGGGGACGGGCTTAGGAGAAGGGGTGGGGTTTAAAGTCTGCTCAGATCCTCTGAATAATTTTGGATGGGCGGGAGTAGACGGTCTTGGGAGGGGCGGTATCAAGTTTGGGGATGGTTGTGAGCTGGCAGGACCTTCGTATTAGCGTCGCTCATAGTCACGTGGCCGTGCAGGACTTTAGTATGACCTTCCAGGGCCTTGGAGGGGTTGACATGTTGAAAGGACCTTGGCATGGCTTGTGTAGGGGGCCTGAGGATGGCTAAACCCCATAATAACATGGGTAGACATGACCTTAGCGTGACCTGCCAGGACCTTGGGGGTTCAGGTGAGCTGATAAAATCTTGGTGTGCCCTGCACAGTCACATGACCCTATGGAACTTTGATGAGCTCAGGCTTTTTTTTGGGGGGGGGGGTGTCACTTTCTAAGGCACTGAGATTGGAGTTAGCAAGAAAGAAAAAGAAAAGAGGTCTTTGTGCCACTATGCCTCATGTGACCTCACAGGATCTGATCATGACCTTCTAGGACCTTGAGAGGAACTGTTGTGACCCAGAGTCTTAGGGTTGCTAACTCTGTGTTTGGAAATTCCTGGAGATTTGGGGGAGCAGCCTGAGAAGAGTGGAGATTGGGGAGGTTGCTCAGCAAGGTATAGTGCCATTAAGTCCTCTGAAGTTGCCATTTTTAACTGGGGGAAATGATCTCTGGGAGATCTCCAGGCCCCACCTGGAAGCTGGCAACCCTACAATCCTGTATATTGCATGTCTAGGTATTGGTGTGACATGCCAAGATAGGGGCATAGCCTGGACAGTGCAGGTGAAGTGAACCCTTATTTGGTGTTTGCCTACAGTGTAAGCCCCGTAGAGTTGCCATCTTTCCTTTTAATATTTAACAAAGAGGACTCTTGCAGCACATTAAAGAGATTTATTGTAGCTTTTGTAGGCTAGAATCTACTTCATCAAGTGAATAAATGAAATTCTCAGTTCTTGGGATAGGAGCTGATTGTGCAATAATAAATCTGTTTGCCTCTAAGGCGCCAGGAGATTCATGCCTGCTTTTACTGTGACAGACTAATAAAGCTACCCTACTGGCACTTGTAACTATCTTTTTCACCTGGCCCTGCTCCTGATTTTCTAACAGCCGCTTACCATGAGCATATTAAATAGGTGAAACTTTTCCTGGGAGGGAGGCAATGGGTTTGGAAATGTTAGACGAATAAATCTAGCTTTAAAAGGTGGGACTTCTAGTGTGAGGCATTGTACAGACTATAGGAAGAATGTGACTGTGCTTGTAGATATTACAGTCTGTACTAACAGACTATTGGATATGGGACAGTCCAGTAGAAATGAACAGGTGACATAGTGCAGGGGAGAGATTAGATGAGGTTCAGGTGGTCCAGAAAATGCTTTAAAATTGAGGAAAGGCTTAAAGATGGAATATGTATTAGGGGGAAGACGATCAGGCAAGACAGACTTGCAAATGAAAACTAAGAGCAAAACAAAACATCAGGGGTTTAACACATCCTCCTCGCTTTATACAAACTTGCAAAATGTCCCAGGGTTGCAGAAAGATCTGAAAACTAAGAGCAAAACAAAAACATCAGGGGTTTAACACATCCTCCTCAAATAATAGAAGCAGCGCCTGTAGCTTTAAGAAATGGATGCCTTCTGTTGCTGTTGCTGAGAAAGCCACTGTGGTGTAGTAGTTAGAGTTTCAGGTTAAGATCTGGGAGAGCCAAGACTGAATCATCATTCTACCTTGGAAACACTCTGGGGTGATATTGAGCCAGTTACTTATTCTCAGCCCAAGCATACAGTGTAGTGTGGTGGGCACAGCAGTGGGAGAAGGATACAAAGGAATATTCCATTGGTACAACAAGAACTTGATTGGGACCTGGAAAAAAGGGCAACTGAGCGGCTTGTTTAGAAGAGCTATGGTAGTTCTCTCTGTGTATACATAAACTACCATCAAGTCACAGCTGATTTATGGAATTCCATGGGGTTTTCAAGGCAAGAGGCATCTGGGGCAAATTGCCATTATCTCCTTCTGCATATTGACCCTGGCCTTCTTTGGTGGTCTCCCATCCAAGTACTAACCAGGACTGACCCTGCTTACCTTCCAAAATCTGTGAGATTGGACTAGCCTGGGCCATCCAGGCTATCTATTCATTCTGTCCTGAGAAAACTACAGGTAATGTGACCTGATGGTCAGTTCAGATGCCGCATAGACCAGCCCCTGATATAGCTTGAAAAACTGTAGAACTCTGTGTGGCGTGGTGGTGGTGGAAAGTACCGTCAAGTCACAGCTGACTTATAGCGACCCCATAGGGTTTTCAAGGCAAGAGATATCCAGAGGTGGTTTGCCCTTGCCTGCCACTGCATTATGGCTCTGGTATTCCTTGGAGGTCTCCCATCCAAATACTAGCCAGGACCAGTTCTGCTTGGCTTCTGAGATGCATGACAGAAAGTTAAACGGTCACTTGATGGAGGGAACTGTAGGAAGAAAGGTGGAGTGGGTAATAGAGAAAAATAGGTTGTGGAACTTAGGTAATACACAGAGAACCTGCCTAGGAGCAGCTTACTGTTATGACCATCATGAAGAACATGTGACTCTCAGGACTCTCTTTGAACGTAGTAGTCCCAAGGGAATTCAGAGGAACAAGTCTATAATTCCTGGCCTTCCCCCCCCCCCCTTAAAAATCATACAGGATTTGGTAGATCTACATCTTATTTTCTATTAGGTATCAGTCTCCTCTGAGAACCAGATGAAGTCTTGGATCCCAGTGCTGCTAACTTTCCCTAGCAGACCCCTGCTTGCCTCCCCAAATTAGCCTGGGGCTGCCAACAACCTGGAGGGGGAAAAAGTCCTGTTAATGTGTGGAAATGGGCAGGTGAAGCTTTTCATAGCATGGAAGTAAATAACATCCTTTATTAAAGGGACAGGACATTTTTTTTGCTCCATAGAAAAACCTGGGGGCCCAGCTTTCCAGCCCCTGTCCTAACTGCCCTCCTAGGGAACCAGAGAATCCTGGATTTGTATCTGTGATCAACAGTGTGTAATTTCCTGTTCTTCCCCCCCTCCCCCTTTCTTCTTTAATCAGCATTGGTGGAGAGCTGATGCATTTCCTGGAGATGGTTGCTAACAACTGAGTTGACAAAGGCAACAAGCAGGTGATGTTGGCCGGGGAGACCAGGAGGTCATACCAGAGCATAGCAACAAATACCGGTCATATATCTGACATAAGGGTTCTCCAGTAGAGAACAAGGTACCTTCTAGTAATTGCTTTTTTGGGAGGTGGGGATGGTGCATTCTGGATGCAAATGTTGCAAAAGCTGATGTTTGAACAGGTTTTAAGAAGAGTGTATAATAAATTGTGATAAATTAGCGCCTGGTTTGGGGCAAGACATCATTGACTTTAAAGGGCTGTTGTTGTGTGAGGGTGGGGGATGTTAAAACCTACTTTTAGATCCCTTAGAAGAAGGAATGGGATAGAGACTGTACTTAGAAAATAAAGTGGAAAGGTCTGAGAATGGTGTCAGGACTAATGAATACAAATTCATAAACTGTAGTGCTTAGTCCGTTTTGGCAATCCATGAGATTGCAATGAGAATAATCAAGGGAAATGCTGAAAAGCTGGAGGCAGGATGCTTTTCGGTTTGCAGGTTGAAACGAAAAAGTAGCTAGCTGCTTCAGCCTTGCAGGTGGAAGTGGCAAACCCTGTTCCAAATCTCCACTTATATCCGTGGTCCTCCAGCCGATGCAGCGGATTTGTAGAATTAATGGAAAGGGAAGCAAGTGAGTGCTGCTAGAGTTGTGCCTGCTCTGTGGTATTCTGACATCCGTCAGTCAAGGCACTGCTGTTTGGGACTGACTGATACTGTTGCTTTCAAAGGCTTCTGACAGTTGCAAAGTAAATCCATTAAAAGTGACCAGTCAATAACAAGGCTGAAGTCAGATCTTGGTTCCCTATGTGCAGTTCTCAGTTCCTTATTTTCGAGCTTCACCCAGCAACATTTGTACTGGACACCTGCCCATGTGTACTTATGTTAGTCGCTTTCAGCCTTAAAGTTCAAAATGTGGGGAATATCCCCTGCTCTGGCAATTCATCCCCTGCCTAGTTGCCTACAATTAATTCTTACTCACCCCAGGCAACCAGACTGTCTGGGGGAGTGGCTCTTGGCAGGAATTCTTTGCTCATGGTGGCTACTTTGGAAGTCTTGAAAGCAACTTTATTCTGTCTGTAACAGTATTGTCCGACCCTTCCTTCAAGGAGCTCAGGATGGTGGCTATGATTCTCCCTTCCTCATTTTACCACCATGGCAACCCAGTGAGGCACATTTGGCTGAAAGGGAATGATTGGTCTGCAGTCACCCAGCAGTCGTCACAGCAGAGTTGGAGATCTGTAGCTGGATCTCCCAGATCTTTGTCTGAGACTTTAGTCACTACATCGTACTGTCTCTCAAAGGAAGGAAATAAGGCAGTTCACAACGAATAAAGCAGAACAGGGGTCCGTAGTGCTGCAAAATTATGGACTGCTGGCTGGAACACATTGCACCAGTGTTCTAAATATCTGTCTTGGCTCGCAGTTTGTTTCCAAGCACACCTCACAGTTCTAGATTTGACCTTCAGAGTCCTAAGTGTTTGGGGACTGGGGTATTTGAAAAACTTCTCCACTACAAAGTTGGCCCGTGTCTGCTTCAGAGGTCTTCACCTTCAGAGATTAGATGGTGACAAGGTTGGGGGGGGGGGCTTTTGGGACTGTGTCTCTTTTATGGGACACAGGAAGCTTTGTGAGGTGCCATTGCTGTAGTCATTTAGATGTCTGATAATTTAAAAAAAAAATAATGCCAAGACTTTCATGAACAAATAGTTCTTTTGTGTGAATTTTTTTGGACTGTCGTCTTTAGCTGTTGCTGTTTTTACCTATTTTTGTTGTTGTTGCTTCACATTTGTACCTTTTGCTTTATATTTTAATTGTCTTTGCCATTCTATCACTTTAATTTGTTTGGCTATTGTAACATTTCGGTTGTTTTATTTGTAAGCTTTAAAGTGGCATTTTGTTGTTGTTGTTGCTTCACATTCGTCCCTTTTGCTTTATATTTTAATTGTCTTTGTCATTCTATCGCTTTAATTTGTTTGGCTGTTGTTACATTTTGGTTGTTTTATTTGTAAGCTTTAAAGTGGGAAAGCAGTGTGTTAATAAAGATTAGTATCCTGAGTGCACCTGTGGGGGAAGCTTATCACGAGAGACCAATGTCTGTTTGCAGGAGAAGATTTTGGAGCAGAGAATTTGTTATCTTAAAGCAAAGAACTTCAGAAAGCGACAGGGATTTCTCACCTTCAGCACACGCTCTGTTTTCTCATTCCTACAGCAGGAAGAAAGCGAAGATGCCGTTCTTCAAATCTGCCTCCAGCCTCCGCTCAGACAGCAGTGATTTGGACACGGATGGCCTTGGTAATTTCCTTGGGAGGGAAGGAGAATATTGCCGTGGGGATGCTTGCTCTTGGGGAGGAGAGGGGCAGAGATTTTGCAGCCCTGGATGGAAATTGTGGATTCATTCCCAGTGTGTCATCTGATGGAACATTTTTTTCCTTTCACTGGAATGGGGAAGCAGAAAGGATTCTTTTCTGGCTTGCTACTCCAGTTTGCTTTTACCAAGGCTGAGAACTTTCAAGAAGCCCTGCTGGATTGCACCAGGTCTATCATTTCAGTTTCCAGCAGATGGCTAAACCTTTCAGGGAAAGCAGAGCATGAAGGTTCCTCCCCCCCACCCCGTAGTTAGTCCCCAGCATCAGGGTATTCTGGGGCATACTGCCTCTGATTATGGAAGATCTATTTAGGAATCACAGCTACTCTTCAGGTTTTGGTGAGGGCTTTTCTTAATTTTGCCTGCCTTGCTGCCGCATTTGTTTCCTCGGTGCTCATTTTGGGCTGGAATCAAAATATGCGTTTACACTTCTGAAATGGGTTTGGCCTCTGCTGCTTTCACCCTTGGGCGTAAAACGCCTTCCTCCCTTAAACCTAATTGCTGGGCAATAACAGTGAAAAGCTGCCGTTGTTTCCTGGAGGAGTTATGCCAGAACTCTTCAAACGTCCCAGCTTTAGTCTGGGTTCCCAAGGGGCCCGTGACTGTTGCATTCTTTAAATGCATGTGTGTACCACGAGGAAGGGCAAACCCAGATTGTGGTTGGTTGAACTTCCTCCGGTACTGCTCAGCCGAAAGCTGAATCCTGGGCCTGGTTACTTGGGAGTAAGCCTCCTCCCCCCCAACTGAACTTCAGAGTAAACATGCATAGCTTTACAGTGACTGCGAGCATGCTGTAAAACATTTGTGTCATAACCTTATAAACTTAGATACACATCTGGTGGTTTCATAAAGGTTCTTGGCAGGAAGCGTTCCTTTAGGCTGTTCCAAAAGAAGCAGCTAATGCAACGATACGGGGAAATGAGGAGGCGAGCAGCAAGGATGATTCTCGCTGAGACGATGGTAGATCGCTCCCTGCCCTGAAATGTGTGTGTGTGTAACTAACAGTGCGCCTCGAATCAGAGTTGCATCCTTCGAAGTCCATTGCCGTTAGAAGGGTTGAACTCTGCCTAGGATGGCACTGTAAGTCACTGAATCTAGTCCACCCTCCGCCTGGCACATCAGGGTGGGGGGCAGGGAGTGGAATGCCAGGCCTAGAGCTGAGAGGCTCTTCCCTTCGTCTGGCAACCCAATCAAATGGCTGGATATTCCTCTCAAACTTTGTCAGGAAGACCGGGGAAGAGATTGGCGAGGCCTTTATTTTTGTTTTGCCAAGCTGAAATGTGACTGTGGGGAGCCAAGGGAGCCAGTTCTGAGGAGGGAATGGAGAGAGACAAGGCCTTTGTACCCAAAAGAATGAGGCCAAAGAGACCGAACCGGGGACACCTTGGCTGCTGCCCACAAGCTTTAGTTGAGTTTACAAGTTACACTTTGTACCGGGCCTCTTTGGGGAACACTGGCGTTGAGATATAGCAGGGATTAAATTGAATTAGCTGAGGTACACGCTATCGGATCCTGGCCAGGCTTTGCAGGACACATGTTGAGCATGAGTCAGTGGCTGCCTGAGGATTCAGAAAGCGAGTCACTGATTTTCTGGAAATGTGGTAGTCAGGGAACCCAGGGAACATTTGTTGCTGAGGAAAGGTCATCTATAAGGCAGTGTTTGAGTGGGATCATGCAGGTAAAATAAGGGCTTATCCAGGGCTTGGAAAGTTTGGGCTTGGCCCCGTGGCACACAGGGAAGAATACAGGAAGTATCCTGGGGGAAGCAGGTAGCTGTGTGCCCTCCAGTGCAGGTGTGGGCAAACCCAGCACTGTGTGGACTACAGAGCCCAGGGCTATTTTTGGGCAGGAACACACAGGAACAGAGTTCCGGCTGGCTCCCAAGTTGGCCACGCCCAGCAGGAACTCATTAGCATAATGGGCCACACCCAACAGCAGAAACTCATTAGGATTGGCTACATTAGGGGTGTGTGGCCTAACATGCAAAGAAGTTCCTGCTACAAAAAAAGGCCCTGTGTTTTGACAACAAACAAGGTAAACAGAATAACAAGCCAAAGGTGGGTGTGGCTGGATAACCACACTTCTGGTAACATGTGGGTGCAGCCTAATGTGCTAATGAGATGTGCTGTCAGGGGTGTGGCCCAATATGCTAATGAGTTCCTGCTGTTGGGTGTGGGCTATTATGTTAATGAGTTCCTGCTGGGCTTTTTCTACAAAAAGAGCCCTGACAGAGCCTATACTGCTCCTCCATCCTACCATCAGTCCCTCATATCTATTAGCAGGGAACCCTCCGACCTTCAGAGAGGAGGAAATGACCCCAGGTAGGGAACAGGTACGTGGCCTCTTCTAACCACCCTTTCCTCCCCCTCCCCTTTCCTTCCTTGCTACTTGCATCGTGATCCGCCAGCTGAAAGCGAGTTGGCCAAACTCCAGCGCCAGTTCCGCCTCTTGGAAGGTGACCGTCATGCCTACACCTTGGAATCCAAGGAAACCATTCGCAAGCAGATGTATGTATGCGCACAGCATCCTTTACAAAATTCTGGCTCCCTAGAAATGGATGTTCGTGAGGGCCAAATGAAACGTTACAGTTTTTAAAGAGTTGGGTCCGGGTACTCCATGGAAACTGGACTTCTTTAAAAACAGCGATGCTTAGTAAGGAGCAGATGGGGTGGGGCAGAGGTAGGGGGGGTGGATTCAGGTTCTTGTTTGTGTTACAGCAAAAAGTCTCGGCCTGTCTTTTTAAGCCAGACAGTTGATTGCTTTCAAGAGAACTGGAAGTACCTTCCAAAGCAGCTTTGCTTTCAGTGGTGCAGATATACAGTCTCACTCCCAGCTCCCCAGCACGTTACTTCTGCTCAAATGGGTTTCTCTGGTTTTGGAAGCCACACAGAAACCTGCAGTACTCGTATGAGAGGCACAAGGGGCACTTACTTCACACAAGCTGCAATCTCTGTTTCAACCCAAATCAGCAGTGGTGGTAGGGAAACTGCCCCCCAGCCTCAAACTGTTTTGAATGCCTCTGTTCTCACCTTCTGGCTTTCAGTTGCACCACAGTTTGGTGGACGTTTGCTGCGCTTTTCTCCATTTTGGTATGTGTGTGGGGTATTTCTTGGCTATCATTTCCAGCACAGAGGTGTGGTTGTGTGGCGCCTCCTTGGTACCTGTCTTCTCTCTGCCTGTCATATCTCAAATACCCAGGTCTGATTCGGTTGAGAGTCTCATAGGTATTTGTACATCTCCCTGCAAAACATCATAAAATGAACGTTCAAAAACTGCCCATCCTTTTGTACTGGTGTAGATACTGACATAACACAAGTGCTCATGGCAACAGATAAGCACGTGGCAACACATAATTAGGCAGCTTGGTTTGGCCACACCAGACTCATGTGGTGGTGGTGGCTGGTGTGCACACATAAGCTGTCCTTTAACAAGCCTGGCGAAAATCTGCCCCCCACTGTCTAGCTCACACATGTACTTGCACCTACAAGGACTTGATGCCTTATGCCATGATGTGCATTCTCACATGAGTTCAGTCTCGGTTGTGACGTGTGGGCTTTCTCATGTCTCTTCACCCTCTCACCGCATGTCCCGCCAACTCCAGGAACCCCGCCTACTTTGTTCCTCCTCTGGGGTAATCAAATCTGCCCAACGGCTGGACAACCCTGAATCCTGCCATCCTTTCCTCTGATCCCTAAACCTTGCTTCTTTTCCAGGGAACTGTCAAGTCTTCGTTTTCAATGTGACTTTTTAAACTTTTTGCAAGCACAACCCCACTTCTAAGTCAAAGCACAGTGGTGCCTTTTTTCCTGGCAGGCTTCTTCCTCCCATTCCCTTTTGTTACTGTGAACTAGGCCCGCCTGCTCCCTCTTTCATGCCTGTCCCCTGCGCCCCATCAGAGGCTTTGTGACAGATCTGCATGCTCAGTCGCAAAGCCCCAGCTCGCCTGGCACTCCTGTAGCTGTGCCCCCAAAGATCTCTTGAGCTGGCGTTGCCACCAATCCCGACCAAAACTCACCAGTGTCACCACTGCGGTCATGACGCGCTCCCGCGTGCCCACCCTGCCCCATCCCGCCGTCTTACCCTGCCAGCCATCTCTTCCTCTTCCTCGTTTCCCTTGGGCAGGCTGGAGGTGAAGCGCCTCGAGAAGGAGAATGAGCAGCTGCTACGCAGGCAGGCTGTGGCCGAGAGCCGCACTAACCGGCAACGGGGGAAAGATCAAGCCGACAGCCTGCGTGCTTTGCTGGGACGCCGGGATGACGTGGAGCAGCAGATCATGGAAGAGAAGAAGAGAATAGCCCTACTTGATCGGGAGGTACGGAGGGAGAAGGCCTGGGAAACAAGATGCTTTCATACAAGCGGTTTTTTATCCTGCATTTCAGTCGAAAGGCTTTTGAGGCAGCTAGAACAAGGTGCCCTGACTTGGAAAGCTCAGGCTAGCCTGATCTCATCAGACCTCGCAAACTAAGGAGGGTTGGCCCCGGTTAGTATTTGGATGGCAGACCCCCGAGGACGTCCAGGGTCATTACACAGAAGAAGACAATGGCAAGCCACCTCTGTCTCTTGCACTGAAAACCCTGTAGGGTCACCATAAGTTGGCAGTGATTTGACGGCAAAAAAAAAAAGGTATCCTAGCAAGAGGGCATTAAAAGTTGTTTAATGACAATCAAACAAAAAAAAAAATCGAAGCATATGTAGTCAGATCCAGGAGCTGGCTATCCAAGCAGGCCTAATGGGTTAATGGAATAGGACTGCATTCCAGTCCACTGGAAGAGGAATACCAGATACTGATAGCATGTCATGAGGGTGAGGAACCTCTAGGAAAATGATGTTTTCCTTTCCCACCCATATCCTGCAAAAGAGAAATAGTCGAAGCGGGGGCAAAGAAATCTAGGAAGGCACAATGATGAAGCGGTTGGGTGCTAGGACTCCTCGGTCTAATCTGTTGGAGCAGAGGAACTAAGATAAGAGTTTTGGGAGATTCAGTGCCATCACAAGTGTTGGAGGGTTTTTTTGCCTTAGCCCTACCCTTCCACTCTTTTCCCTATCACTGATAGATCCAAAGCTGGGAGAAGCGTTTGGCTGTCCAGAACAAGGAAGTGGGCAGTGGACACTTGATCCAACAACAGAAGATCCACCTACAGAAGAGGGTACAGACGTTGGAGAACCCAGCTAGACAGGGTAAAAAAAAAAGTGTCTGGGGGGAAGCTGAGAGCCAGGACTTCCAGGTTGCCTCCGTTTTATCACTCACTTTCTGTTTCCAGGCCACCTCACAATTCAGTTCTCAGCTGGTTGTCAACTCCCAGCTGCGTGAGGATCTAGAAATCCTCCAGATTGGACACGATCGCTTCGAACAGCTTTACAAGCATCTAGAGAAGGTAGGATAGTGCTAGGGGGGAAGCAGAGGGAGGTGGTGGGATGTAATTGGCTAAGTTTCTGAAAGGGACTGAAGCCTTATCGAAGGCAAGCGAAGATTCTGTTACAGAAGGGGTCTGGTTGCCTGGTGAAGACTCCAGTATAGAATGGAATGATGTGATTGGCTGTTGTGGGAGGTATATAAAATCAGTGTTTTTCATTGGCTGAGAAAAAGTCTATCATGAAACTGAACAATGTGACTTAGAAAGGGTTCTTTTCTTAATAAATCCAAGTCTTGTGGTTGACAAGCGCTAGATTCTGATGTGGAAAGCTATAAAGCACCTAATTCATTCATGTGACATGAATCATGACGGTCATCAGACCCAATATTGTCTTTAGGGTTGATATGCAAGACCACTTTCTGCGTCCCTCTTCTGGCTATTTTTGCGTTTGTCTGTTGACCCAGATTGAATGGACCCAAGTTGAAGGAGTCTTCAGCCTGGTCCAGAATCTGTCAAGTCAACTTATAGTTGATCAACTTGGTTTTGAGGAGTTTTTCCAAACCGACCCACAGCTGACACTTGTGTTGAATTGACTCTTTCACACAACCACTCTGCAGTTAGCCAGGTTTAATTTTAGTTTGTAATGGCTTGATTGCTCAGAGCAATGGGTTGTCTGAGGACTGAATTACACCTTCTCTTTAGTTCTCTTTTAACAAATCTTTTTCCTTTTGCAGATGTTGCTACTGGGGCTGCTTTTTCAAGGGGGAGGATGGTGGGGAGAGGCCCCTCCACACTTTTCTCCCTAGTTCCTTTTGCAGACTGTCGATCCACCCTTTCCCCCCTCAAGATAGCAGGCCCAGTGCCTACATTGGGGAGAGTGTGAGGGGGGGAGTATTTTTAAATGATCAGGGAAATAAATGTAGCACGTAAATGCCCCCCCCCAGTTGTTCTGTGTAAATGCAGCCTCTAATTCTGTATATCATTGCAAAGGCTCGTGTTGGGAGATTTATGCAATGCATTCAGAGGGGAAGGAAAAAACCACCCAAGGAGTCCTATGAATGTAACACATTCAAGGTGGAAAAGTTGAAGAAAAGTAGAAAAAAACCTTGCTGTCTTTGTTTCTTTTATGGAGCAGGTGACAGTGATTTGGAGAGAAGGGAAAGGTGGAGACGGGGCCTCTGAAAGGGTACAGGGCTTCATAACAGGGTAGGAAAGTTGTACAGTAATAAGGGGATGGATCTGAAGGCTCCTGCTCTGTTTTGTTTCTCAGGAGCTGCTGGGTTCACGCAGGAACATCGGGGCCATGATCAGCACATCCTCAGCAGCCTACGATGCAAGGTTAGGGAAAGGCGATCCTGCTTCTGTGCTCTGGGGGGAAATGTATTCTGTACCCAGACGCTGGCCCCTTACTGCTGAGACAGCAGAACCTCTCTCCCTGGGAACTGATGGCTCCTCATGGGCTTGGCTGCCTTCCCCTATTGGTGGATTGTGACATCTTCAGCAATCCCGAGTCCCACCTCTCCTAAGTTCCAACCTTTGCTCTGGCCTCCATGAGCCTCAGGGCTGAATCTAAGCTGCACTAGAAGAGTATACATTCTACTCCAAGGTAATCCAACGTCTAAGCTCAGAAGAGCAAAATTCTTATATATGATGCAAATCCAGCTCTGCTTAATTTGCATTGTTTGTACTCATGACGGGCAGGGTCAGGAGCGATGCAAGGCACCAGAGCTCGCTCCCTGGTCCCTCAAAGTCTAGAAGTTGTCCTCTGGTTTCACATTGCTGTCTAGAGGTCTGTAACCACAAGGACTGTTGCTCTCCGAGGTTGCCCAGGCACTACTAATAATAATTATCATATGGCAGTGTGTGTAGTATAGCCGGAAGATCCTAAGATTGTCTGGAAGGCAGAAGTTTTAGCTCTTTTAGCATTGTGCACCACTAGGTGGCGAGCTAGACTTGTTTTTAAGGCAAGAGGCGTTTCAGAGGTGGCTTGCTGTTGCGTCATGCCCATCCAAATACTAGCTGGGGCTGACCCTGCTTAGCTTCCGAGATCTGACAAAATCAGGCTAGCCTGGGCACTTACTCACCTGTAACCACAAGACTGTTGTTCTCAGAATGTTTATTCCCAGACTGCTCCAGTTTTGGCTCAGTAACAAATTGTGTGCTTGCATAAGAATCCCAGAGTACTTGCAGTGTGGTTTCGTGTGTTGGGATCCAGCACAATAAATTCCTGGGTTCTCGGGGGGTGGTGGTGATGGTGGATTGAGCTGGTGGTGGCAGGTGGGACACTTGGTTCCATCTGACAGCTCTGGGGGATGCAGAACTTGGAGCTTTCAATACTTGAACCTGCCTTTATACCAGGGGTGGCCAAACTGCAGTTCGGGAACCGCATGTGGCTCTTTCGCACATGTTAAGAAAAAGCAAACGTGCATATTTTTCAATGAAAACATGTGTGCAGTATTTGTTCATGTCTCGCGGCGGCTCTCAAACATCTGACGTTTATTCTGCATGGCTGTTACATTAAGCAAGTTTGGCCACCCCTGCTTTGTACCAAGTCACGTTATTGGCCCGTCTCCCCCAGCACAAGTTGTTCCGACTTGCATTCCACTCTCCAAAAGTCTCCAAAAATGATCTTTTAAATGGAGATGCGGGGGACGGAGTCTGGCACCCTCTGGGTACAAAACAGGTCTTCGGGTCAGAGAGATTTGAGCCAGGCGCCTTCCTGGCCCACAGCTCTTCCTCCCTACACAGCTCTCACGGTCCCTGCACAATCTTTTGGGTGTGTGGAACAGGGGTAGTGTAGGTAGGACAGGCAGTGGTTACAGTGTCTGCCTAGGATCTGGGAGACCCAGGTTCAGATCCTCCACACATCCCTACACAGCTCTCACGGTCCCTCCACAATCTTTTGGGTGTGTGGTAGTGTAGGTAAGACAGACAGTGGTTACAGTGTCTGCCTAGGATCTGGGAGACCCAGGTTCAGATCCTCCACACTGCCATGGAAGGTTGCTGGGTGACCTTGGGCTAATGACTCCTCGCCTCCTACCTTACAGGGTTGTTGTGAGGCTAAAACAGAGTAGGGGAGAACAATGAGAGCTGCTTTGGGTCCCCTTTGGGGAGGACGGCAGGGTGTAAATGAAGTAAACGAATAGTGTTATTTATCAGGGAAGTTGGGAACCGGGATTCTTGGGCTTATTCTGGGCCCAAACACGAATGTACCCCTCTTGCCCCTCCCTGTCCACTGAGGTTAGGGTTGCCAATCTCCAGGTGGTGGCTAGAGAGCGCCTGCTATTAACAGTTGATCTCTAGGAGACAGAGATCGGTTCACCTGGCAAAGACAGCCACTTTGGAAGGTGGATTTGGTGGCAGTATGCCCCATTGAGGTCCCTCCCCTTCTCAAACCCTGCCCTCCTCAGCCCCCCCCCCCAAAAAAAAATCTCTAGGTATTTCCCAGCCTGGAGCTGGTAAGCCTAACTGGGGTAAATTGCAGGGATGAGGCGCAGAACCGCATGAGCCAGCTGCAGGACAAGATGGGGAAGGATCTCAGACAATACGAATCTGAGCTGAGAGAATTAAACCGCATCCTAGAACATGACCGCCGGATGGACGAGTTCCTCACCGTCAAACTGCAGGAGCGGCAGTTCACCGAGGAAGCGTTGAAGGCCAAGGAAAAACAAGGTATGTGAGGGGGGAAGCTAAGAGCTACTCTGCCTCCCCCTCCCCGTGATAATGGGTGTGTCTGATCCTTTACAGCAGGAAAGCTCGGAGTCGAGACTAATCTGGGAGGAGTTGAGTGGTTGAAAGCAAGGGATCCTGGGATGGCATTGAGAGTTGTCCTGGGTGGTCTTGACTTAGCTTGTTATTTTAATGGGTAGGCCCAGCCTACCTAGTTATTTTTGGTCTTGTGGTCTTATTTAACTTTTTATTTGTGTTAGATTAAAATATGCATATTTAGAACATTAGATTTTAGAGATCTAAAATGTTTAAATTAGTCAAAGGTTTTATCTCTGTGAGTAAATACGTAGATACATTTGTACACAGAACCAATGACTGTATTCTGTTTAATTAATGCGTGCTCCCTTCCTCCCCCCTCCCCCCTGCCCCCCTTTCATATCTCCTCCCCCATTAAATACACAACAGAATTATTGGTTCTGCATGCACTTCTAGGTCTCGTGGTATCTAGTTGGACTGTGGTAGCCTTGATAGCGGTGGCCCCCCTTCTTCTTGAGTTAGATGCAAAGTAAAGGTAAAGGTTCCCTTGCTCGACAGCCAGTCGAGTCCGACTCTAGGGTTGCGGTGCTCATCTCCGTTTCAAAGCCGAAGAGCCAGCGCTGTCCGAAGACGTTTCCGTGGCCATGTGGCCGGCATGACTAAACGCCAAGGCGCACGGAACGCTGTTACCTTCCCACCGAAGTGGTCCCTATTTATCTACTTGCAATTTCTTGCTTTCGAACCGCTAGGTTGGCAGGAGCTGGAACCAGAGACGGGAGCTCACTCCGTCTTGCGGCACACCCGGGTCTCGAACTGCTGAACTACCGACCTTCCACCGCCTGCAGTTCAGCGTCTTAACCACTTGAGCCACCGCAGCTCCTACACCCCTAGTCCAAACACCTAGATCCCGGGCTCTGTAGGGGGATGCACACCATGACAAAATTTTTGTTCCCTCTTATTGTACCTGAAACCGATTTCTTGTACTTAGGTAAACAGTGGATTGGTGCCTTGTTCTTTCAATGCATGTCTGCCAGTCGAGTAGTAGGACTTCTGGGAATCACTAGCAGTTTTGAACCCGAAGCCAGGAGGCTGGGAGTAGCACCGGCTGAGTGTGGCTGGAACCGGGCTCTTAGGCTGTGTTTCCTCCTTCCCCATCAGAGCAAGAGCGCAGACGGCGAGGGCCCGAGGAAGAGCTGATCGACTCTTACCAAGATGCCTCTGAGCAGCTGCTGCAGTTGACTGGCACGAGCTCGCTGGATGATGGGCTGGAGAAGTTCATTGCAGGTGATGTCTGTGCGAAAATTGGACCCTTTTCGTCTGGGGGTTGTGGGCTGTCCTCTGGGGCTCCCTTCCACTGGGAGAGCGTCCCAAAAAGGCAGCTGGGGGGAGCATTTCCTCCTGGCCATGCTGAGTGGGGATGTGCCTGACTCTTTTCTCTCCCTGCCTTAGAGGAGGAGCGGAACTTTGCTCAGTTCAACTATGTCAATGAACAAAATAACCAGCTGGAACAGATCCGGGAACAAATTGCTGAGGTGAGGGAAGAGGATCGGAGTTCCTTTCTTCTTTGCCTTCTTTCTTGGGGGGGGGGGGGTTTCCTCTGCAGCTCCTGCAGAAATATTCCCAATGTCCGCTTTCTGCAGCGAGGAAAGGTACAGTCAGCATTTGGGGTAGTTAGGAAGCCAGTATGGCAACTGGAGTATGTGCAGAATAGCTGAGCTGTGCCCGTGTGCGTAGAATGTATCTCTCTCTCTCTCTCTCTCTCTCTCTGGAGGCAGAATTTGGCAATTCCTAGATGCCAAAACCAAGCAGCAGCTGCCGCCACTAGACTGTGGAATAATAATACAATTCGATATAGGTTTCAAGGAGGGAGCACAAATGCATGCTGCCCTTCATAGCCAAGACAAGTTTATGGCTGCATCCACATGGCCATGATTTCCCATGATCCTTCGGTTGCCCTTGTGAACCCAGAGAGATTTGCAGCGGTGAGGGAGGATCTACCCGGCAGCTTCCCTTGTCTTACCTCCCCCATGCCACCAGAGTGCTATTTCCCTCCTCTTAAAAAAAATAAGTAAGTAATTTGGTCTATTACTGTAGTGTAAGGCTACAACAAGAACCACTTGGTGATACAGAGGCAGGGGGCGGGGGGGGGAGAGAAGGGCAGCTGTGAGAGGCTGTGGGAGGAGAGAAGGGCAGCTGGGGGAAGGGAAACGGTGCTGTTGAAGGCGGGACCTGCAAAAACGGGCTTCTTCCTGTCTGTACAGTGGGCGAAGGTGCTTTGACTGCATTCTTCCCCAAGAGGTTGGGAAAGATCTCAGACAAGCAGGGGAAGGCACAGAGAACTGATTATTAGAGGACGGTGTCAAGTGGATGCTCTAGGGATGCCAGCCTCCAAGTGGGGCCTGCGGATCTCCCAGAATTACCACTCACCTCCAGGCTACAGAGATCAGTTCTCCTGGAGGAAATGGCTGCCTTGGAGGGTAGACTCTGTGGCATATCCACTGAGGGTCCCTGTCTTCCCCAGGCTCCACCCCCAAATCCCCAGGAGTTTCCCACCCTGGAGCTGGCAACCCCACCCCCCCACCTCACCACCAGTGGTCAGGGGGACCAGGCAACCTTAGGATGCTCCCCCAAGATTTTGCTGCAGTTTAGAGGAAAAAAACCAGAGCCAAACCTCCAGCAGCCATATTGCACGTGGCAAATTGTTGCATTCCTCCTTTTTTAAAAAAACAACACACCCTCATGCTTCTATCCCTTATGGCTCTGGAGGTCAAGAGCCTATTGACTTCCGGGGATTCTGGGTGGAGCTTTGTGACCCTCACCTCTGCTTCTAATCACTGGCCTTACTGGAGATGTCCCTGATCTTACTCCTTCTCCCCGGTTTCATTCCTTGCCCAGACCTTCAGGATGTTGGTGGGGGGAACGGCTGCTGCACCCTGCTGGCCAGGGCTGAAGCTGGTTATTGGTTCCTGCTTCTGCATGCAGCTGAGCAGGAGAACCGGCCTCAACCAGGAGCTGCCTCATGCGCACCTCTGCTCCCCAAAATGTCTTGGGCCATCCCAATTCACGACCAGCAGAGACTTTCCCTTTAGGCGGCCTCCGTTATCACATCTAGCCCCCGTTTTGTTTTACACATGGTACTCCTCGGCAAGGGGCCTCCCTACTAATGGTATCGTTCCTGGGTGTTTGGGAAAAATTAATCCCAGCTCCCTGAGCCGGATGTGAACTGATGAGAGGCCAGCCCAAAGGGTAAGAGACAAAGACTTGCACATTGTTCTACTTTATTCGCTAAGCAACAAGAATGAGATAGCACAGTGATGGCGAACCTTTTAGAGACCGAGTGCCCAGACTGCGACCCAAAACCCACTTATTTATTGCAGAGTGCCAACACGGCAATTTAACCTGAATACTGAGGTTTTACTTTAGAAAAAACAACTCATACCTTAACTTAAGATGATCCGAACAAAGTAAGGAAAGCAATCCCAAATGCTTTCGTTTACTTAAAATTATTTGGCAGAGAATTCCACACTTTAATGATGGTCTGGGCCTGGCTGGGGCGATGGCACGTGTGCCCACAGAGAGGGCTCTGAGTGCCACCTCTGGCACCCATGCCATAGGTTCGCCACCACTGAGATAGCAGAACTGCTCAAGGCCAAAACACTTGTCCTGACCTGGATAGCTCTGGCAAGCCCGATCTTATCGGATCTCGGAAGCTAAGCAGGGTCGACCTTGGCAAATCCTTGGATGGGAGACCTCCTTGGAATACCAGCAGACGGGGAGGTGGGGGCAGGCTTTATTCAGCCACCTCTCTGAACATCCTCCAGGCCCCCACTAGGGGTCAGTCACCAGAGGTTGCCACGACTTCCAGGCGCACAGGCACTCACACGCACCCATATTTTAAAAAAAAGACGAAAACGCTTTACAACGTTTCAGTATTCTGCATAGAATATTTCAACATAAACCCAATACTAAAAATAGTGCACTTGTATAAAACTCAGAACACTCTGGACTGGTCATCAAGGCCTCACCAGGAGCTGTTGATGGCTAGCCCCAAGAAGACAAATCTCTAACTACTTATACCCTCTGGACCCATAGGTTAAATTAAAATGACTGACATAAGGCTAACGCGTTTTAACCGAAGAATATCTCTAGTACAATTTTACTCTGAACTCGCATCCTAGATAGTCCAGGATGTCATCATTTGTCAGATAAAGAGTCACGGAGATCATATCGAGGACTATTCTAAGAATCTAAGAGCCTTCAGCAGATAGACTAACTGCTCTGGCTTTATTTTGGCTGCATAGGAAGTACAACGCGTAGCTGTGATCCCTGTTTTAAGAGTGTTATCGGTAGGTCATGCACTACAGACCTCCACTTGAGAGAAAAAAAAGCATTGTGGAGGCCCATGGGAGCTGGAGAAGAAAATGATAACCATAGAAAAATATAAGCTATGCTGTTATACATAGGAAGGCCAAGGGCAGTAGGGAAACAGTCAACCCTGGCTTACAAGAATGTCACATCAGCTATACTGCAAAGATCTATGGGAGAAGGGAACCAAAGAGGCATAATTCAGACTGCTCTACAGAAATGCCCCAGGCTCACTTATATTTCTGACACACTGGGAACATGTAACTCGCTCTTGCTGACCTCCTGCAACAGGAGAAGCAGCTGTCCAGACCTTTTCCCAACTTTGTTCTCCAGCTCAATCACGAAATAGAGAAGCTCCAGGCACGGGAGGCCCAGGCGGAGGCGGAGCTGCAGCTGCAGTTGCAGGAAGTCGAAAGGCAGCAAGAGGCAGCTGTGAATGAGGCAAAGCAGATTGAGCTGCTTCTGAAGGCCCAGACCAAGATTTGGGAGATGTTCAAAAGTGGTAAGGGGCGCGGGGCTGCAATGCCAGGCATTCCTAACGGGGGAGCTGCCCTTGCAGAAGCTGACTGGGAAACGAGGGCCGCAAACATTTTGAAGCTTTTGTTGTTGTTGTTGTTACAGCCTGGAGGACTAGGAACTTGCTGTTGTCTTTAAAAACTGGCGTTCTCAGGCCGCCGTATTACATGCCAAAGAGGAGATGCTGTACTCCCATAGCAATCTTGCAGATGTGTGTGGGGAAACCCGTAAAGTGGTTGCTAATTGTTGCAGAAATGGTGTGGAGCCTTTGCTGGGGGTGGGTGGGGATTTGACCTGGCCTAAGCACCTCCTAAGGGCCGCGGTGGCTCAGAGGTTAAGACGCTGAGCTGCAGACTGGAAGGTCTGTAGCTTGGCAGTTTGAGACCCGAGTTGCTGCATGACGGAGTGAGCTCCCATCTCTGGCCCCAGCTCCTGCCAACCTAGCAGTTCGAAAGCAAGAAATTGCAAGTAGATAAATAGGTACCGCTTCAGTGGGAAGGAAACAGCGCTCTGTGCGCCTCAGCGTCTAGTCATCCCGCCCACAGGACCATGGAAACGTCTTCGGACAGTGCTGGCTCTTTGGCTTGAAAACGGTGATGAGCACTGCCCCCTAGAGTCGACTTCGACTAGCTTTCAAGCAAGGGAAATCTTCACCTTTACTTTAAGCACCTCTAACTGCCAGCGGCCCCTGGTGCTCCAGTCCGAGCTACCACGGCTTGGGAACCTATGAACGAATTCCATGTGTGCTGATCTCTGCTGTCTGTTTGCACAAATGGAAGAGAACAATTGATCCTGCGCAGACAGCGGTACAAGTGAGCCAAGAGGAAGAGAGATCCACGGCAGAGGCAGTCTAGCACACATGGAACTTGTTTGTAGGAACCCCAGCCTGCATTCCCTTGTGCTCAGTGCGGTAAGGAAATACAAAGAAGCTGGTCTTCATGTCCCCAGGGGAATAGTGGAAGGCGGAGGGGCAGTGGTGGTGAAGCACGGAAAGGAAGATGCAGAATCTGAGGTCTGACTGGGAAGGTTTTGTGGGCATGACATAACAATAGACCAAAGAGCAGGCTGAACCCTGAAAGAGCAGCTGAAGAAGGGGGTGGGTGGTTCCATCGCCTGGGAAGATGGCAGGGCAAAGAGGAGATACATTTCTTGTGCTCCCATTATCCTGGAACAGGAGGGAAGGGGTGGGGTTTGGAGTAGGAAGAAGCCCCAGCCAAATACAAGGACACATTTCCAGCCTGCATCAAGGCCTGAGGCGGATGGTGGGACGTAACAGAACAGAAAGTGGCTTGAGAGGCCTCACTTCCCATATGATCCACACACACACACACATTTGTTGTGTGCTTCCGCAGCTGCTTCCAGTCAAAAAGACTTTGTGGGTTTTGGAAACCACGCCGAGTTTGTTGTCTCAGAGGCAGCAGTAGGCTGAGAGAGCACACCATGAGCAGAGATCCTTCTTTTTTTCAAAACCCAAAATTAATCACCTGTTGTTCTGTCTCTAGTTCATAAGATGTCTCAGTGGCTGGCAAGCTGAGATTGGCGGAGCATCTCACTGTCGGCTGATTATTATCTGGGCCAGGGGTCGTTTCTTAGAAAAAGAGCTAGGGGAACTCATTAGCATAACTCATTAGCATATGCCACACCCCCTGACATCACCGGAAGTGTGTCATAAGGCCACACCCCCTGGCATCACCGGAAGTGTGTCATAAGGCCACACACCCCGCCCCCAACGGTCCCGGCCGCCGCCGGCAGAGGCAGGGAGGAAGCAACTTACCCTCCCTCTTCTCCTGCCTCCTCCTGGCTGAATGAGGGCCGGAAGCGGGGCGGCCGGAAGCAGGGGGCGGGGCTTCGTCATGTGCCCCGCCCCCCGTACCTCACCCGGGGGAACTGCGATCCCCCGCGATCCCCCTCGAAATGACCTCTGATCTGGGCATTTTTCTGGGGGGAACGTGCCAGAACGGAGATCCGGAACCTCTTCGACAAAATTCTTTTAAAATGTTTTAAAGTTCCATGAGTTTTCAGTGTACAGGCTGAAAACTTCATTTCCCTCTTGAGAGTTCTGGTACCTCTTTTTCACACACACACAAAAATCACCCTGATTATTATCCATAAGGGTGGTTGGAGACTGTGCTCAAGTTCTCGGGGTTCTTCGGGAGGGCAGTGGGGAAGTCAGGACCTTGGGAGCCAGGATTCAGTCATTCATCTCCCTTTCTCTCCCACTCCTCTGGAAGAAATCGAGTCCCTCTTTGGGAAGCTGCATTGTGACCATTCGGTGCTGGATAAAATCCTAGGGGGGTCGACAGCCGCGCGGGACGAGAACATCGCAATCTACATGGGCTTGATCGAGCAAAAGATCAATGAATTATTGGCGATGTATTCCTATGTGAGGGCTGAGGTACGCAGGACCAGATGGGTGGGGTGGGGAGGGGTGGGGACCCAGCAAGGGCTGACAGAGGCATGGGGAGTGGGGAATTGGTTTTCGTGTCTTTGGCTCTTTCATCTTGGAGGAAGGGGTTTTTCCAGGAAGCCACCTTGGACTGGAGGAGGCAACATTCAGCCCACTTTAACCAGGGTGTGCAGCCCGATCCTACAGCCGCAGTTAAACCCTGTTGAAAATGTTTTATTGCACATGACCACCTTTTGCAGGCAAGAGCCAAAAGGATTAGTCTGGTCATGTCTTTTCCTGAAAAATCTTGTGCTCCTTTTTTGATTCCAACGTAAGAGTCTATATGCATTCTTCTGTTGATGTCTGATCCAACTGCCCCATTTTAGGGGGAAAAACACATTACTTTGCAACCGTGTAATGCAATTCACGAAAGCACAACAGTGCCTCCTTTTAATTTCCTGAACATTTTGTGTCTTCAGTTTTCCAAACGTATTTCTGAAGCAATGAGGACTTGAAGCTCTTTTTAAAAATGAAAACCTAGGTACTAACAGTAGCCGTAGCCAGTATTTTGCTCGGTTTTGACTGAGTGGAAGAAATGAATCGATCTGGGTCAGTAGGGGAGGCAAAGTGGCCAGCTGTTAGAGGTCCATTTTTATTTTAGAGCTCTGGAGGGGAGGGGGCGCGCGTACTTTTGGCCCAAACGATATATCCTGTTCCTCTTTTAGCAACAAAACAAGCCCTTCGATACGTTGGAGACAGTGCAGTTGATCCTGGGGCAGAAGCCCGTGCCTTCATCTCGCCGGATGAGCGTTCGACCACCCACCACTGGGTAAGAGGCAGGACAATGTCCGATACCACCCTGAGGTTCCCTCCCCCTCAGTGATCATTCAGGTGTCGCCTTTGGAATTCTGACATGGCATGATGGGTGCAGCCACGGAGTGGTTGCCGCACCTTACCTCCAGTAACTCAGTGAAGATCCTTGTGCTGTGGTGACTGCTGCTGCCAAAGCAATGTTTTTAAAGATCTGCACAGCCAATCAGAAGCATTTTTGGGCAAACACCCCCACCTGGCCATCAGTGTTCCCTCTAAGCTGTGGAGTCTTGTGAGCAAAAATTCTACTTTGTGAGCTACTGGCATTGAAGCTGTGAGCAAGCAATTTGGCTGCTGTAGCCATCCTTCCTTAGCTAAGGCAAAAGTGTGTGAGCTGGAGGCTAGCTCACACTAACTCAGCTTAGAGGGAACCCTGCTGGCCATGCCCACTTTCTAAAACCACTTGACGGGCACCAGGAAAGGTGTTAGTGGGCACTGTGCCACCCTTGGGCGCCATGCTGGGGACCCTAGGGTTAAAGCCACCAAAGGCTGGGTGAGATGTTTAGAATGGGGATGGGATATGCTAGATCAGAGTTAGGGTTACTGGCTCTTTCTTTCTTATATATTTGTTGTTTTTTCTACCTACCTTATCGCATTCTTACCCTGCCCATCCTTCAGAGAGCTGAGACTGGTGAATGGGGTTCTCACCATTTTATCCTCATATCAGCCCCATCAGGTGCTTGTGCCGTTCACACTCTCTTTCTCAGCCTCTAAGTCACCCAGTGAGCTTCAGAGCACAGTGTGGGGTGGAATCCGGGTCTTTGTAGTCCAGCCACTGTGCCAAGCTGGCTTTTCTTTTCTCAGGAAGGCCCTTTGCCACCCAACAGGCAGAAAGTCAAGAGGAACAGCTTCCCTGTTAACTGTGCCTAGGAAAAGTTATACCTGTTGACTTTCTGCATGTCCCACTGCTATTTAAAGCCATAAAGGAAAGGAAGAACTTCTGTCGGGAATAAGAGGCAGCTGTCCTAGTTAGAGCCAAAGGGGGAGGGCTAGAGGAAAATGGGGTCTAGTAGATTAACTCAGAGAAAGGAAAGCAGGAGCCAGATTTCCTGGGGCTTCTGGGTAGGACCGTCATTCCTGGATTGTATGGGATTTAGTAGGGACCACTGGTTTTTAGGAGAAGGAAAGTAGGGGGCATAGATCGGTTTGTAATTAGTGCAAGAAAATCTTCTCTTTGCCATGCAAATTACGTCTTTTTCTCCATCCTTTTCAGACCAAGCCACGAAGGAGTCATCGAAGAAGAGGAGAGACCCTTGACTCACACAGAGCTCAAAGAAAAAGTCCTGAAGGAGGTGAGTACAAGCTGGAAGGCGGCAGGCATTTGGAGGAGGGTGGAGTTAAGAAGATGAGATTTACAAAAAATCAAGTCTTGATTCTTTGGAAGGGGGTGATGGGGATGATAGGAAGCAAGTGCTTTTATTGAAATATTTATATACTACATTATGAAAAGTATCTCTGAGCTAGCTAGCAATCTGATAAAAGCTGCAATACACAGCTGAATTCCATAGTACAGCCTATCATCCAAGTAACTTGGCACACATCCTATCTAGGTCAGCAGTAAATTACAACAGGAAGCAAAGTAAAAGAGCCTTGGTCTTTGCCTGGCATCTCAAGGCAAAAACTATGGAAACGGAGGCAGTTTCCCTGCAGAATTTCTGTAACTTTGGTGCCACTGCAGATAAGGCCCTTGTTTGATACTCCCTCTATATCCCAAAGGAAGGTTCTCAGGGCTGGTTCTCTGGCTATAAGCTATTTGAGGAACTGCTTGGGGGAGCACAGTGAGGAGGGTGCCAGCACCCAGGCATCAGCAGTGGTAATGCCTCCTGGGGCCACGTATCCGGCCAGTTGGGGATTCAGTCAAGCCTTGGGGAAATGGCTTAGATCTGGCTGCTGGCAGTGCAGGCCCAGGAAGTGACATGTGTACCTTGCTTGGGCTGACAAAATGCCTTGAACTGGCCCTGAGAATTACGTTCATCAAAGTTGTCACCATTTCCCAGAATTCTCTTCTGCATTGCTTTCCTCAGAGGAACCAACTCTCTCTTCCTTTGCGAATAGGTTGGGTGGGCCTCTAGTATGAAAACGTTCTCAAGGACATGCCGTTCAGGGATAGGACGACGCACTCTTTTAAGAGGCGTACATTTTGCTGCTCCCTCCCCGTTTTAACTTCTGTCAGGACCTTTCTTCTGTGGGATAAGGATGTTGCGAAATCCTTGGCCTCTTACCTTTTAGTAATTCAACATAAAATAAAAATTAAAAATCTTTTATAATTAAGATGGACTTGGAAGGGAAAAGGGAGATTAAAAAAAAAAATTGGTGGGGTTGACTCAAGGCTATGGCTAGTGAAGCCGTACCATGGAAGGAAGGATTTTATTAATGTCTCTGCACATGGTGGATTTCTCTTCTCCCACCTCCAGATCCTGAGCAACCCAGAAATACCTTTCCAAAGGAGAAACACGCAGCCCGATATAGCCAGTGCCCGGGGTCGAAGAAGTGGATTTAAGAAGCCACAACACGCTTCTTGACTTAAGTAGGAACTCTCCTCACGATCTGGTCTGTGCAGTGCAAAGGACAGAAGCTGCGATGTCATAGGCAGGGGCACACGGTGGTCTGGTTCCCCACATTGCTACCCTTCTATGAGCACCCTCTGCAGCCTTCCTCACATTTGGGATGACTGATGTGCCAGGAGGCAGCCTTCCCTCTGCAGGGGCCTCTGGACTGTTGTGGCTCCTTGAAGATCGTCCTCCGCCTGGCGAATTTTCCCTTCCGTCGACTGCTTGCCCAATCAGGACTGACCTGCTGCATACACGATACGTAACACATACCCTCCGTCTTAACAAAGGGTCTTTGCTCCTGAGCTGCCTGTTCACTTATATCCCTTAAGTCGACGCCAGAGTCACTTGTGAAGAGGGAGTGCACCTTGAAATATATGGTCTCTCTCTCCTCTATGTTTGCCAGAAACCATTCGTCCAGAGGAAGCAACCCTATACCTTTGCAGTGTAGCAAGCCCATATCTCCAGGGGCAAAAATGCCCGTGTCCCTGATGCCAAGGAAGCTGTCATTGGGCTAGGAGCAGGTGCCTGAAGTTCATGATGTCACCCTCCCCGTGCCACTAGTGTCCAAAAACTGGCAAATTAAGCTTTCTAGTGCTGTTGTAACTTTTTCTGAAGCGTCTAGAGTAAGGAAGTCTCCCTGTCTCTTGGAGAAACCTTTCTTCTGTGGGATAAGGATGTTGCGAAATCCTTGGCCTCTTACCTTTTAGTAATTCAACATAAAATAAAAATTAAAAATCTTTTATAATTAAGATGGACTTGGAAGGGAAAAGGGAGATTAAAAAAAAAAATTGGTGGGGTTGACTCAAGGCTATGGCTAGTGAAGCCGTACCATGGAAGGAAGGATTTTATTAATGTCTCTGCACATGGTGGATTTCTCTTCTCCCACCTCCAGATCCTGAGCAACCCAGAAATACCTTTCCAAAGGAGAAACACGCAGCCCGATATAGCCAGTGCCCGGGGTCGAAGAAGTGGATTTAAGAAGCCACAACACGCTTCTTGACTTAAGTAGGAACTCTTGTCACAATCTGGTCTGTACAGTGCAAAGGACAGAAGCCGCGATGTCATAGGCAGGGGCACACGGTGGTCTGGTTCCCCACATTGCTACCCTTCTATGAGCACCCTCTGCAGCCTTCCTCACATTTGGGATGACTGATGTGCCAGGAGGCAGCCTTCCCTCTGCAGGGGCCTCTGGACTGTTGTGGCTCCTTGAAGATCGTCCTCCGCCTGGCGAATTTTCCCTTCCGTCGACTGCTTGCCCAATCAGGACTGACCTGCTGCATACACGATACGTAACACATACCCTCCGTCTTAACAAAGGGCCTTTGCTCCTGAGCTGCCTGTTCACTTATATCCCTTAAGTCGACGCCAGAGTCACTTGTGAAGAGGGAGTGCACCTTGAAATATATGGTCTCTCTCTCCTCTATGTTTGCCAGAAACCATTCGTCCAGAGGAAGCAACCCTATACCTTTGCAGTGTAGCAAGCCCATATCTCCAGGGGCAAAAATGCCCGTGTCCCTCATGCTAAGGAAGCTGTCATTGGGCTAGGAGCAGGTGCCTGAAGTTCATGATGTCACCCTCCCCGTGCCACTAGTGTCCAAAAACTGGCAAATTAAGCTTTCTAGTGCTGTTGTAACTTTTTCTGAAGCGTCTAGAGTAAGGAAGTCTCCCTGTGTCTTGGAGAGAGTAGTCAAGGCACAAGACCGGGGTATGTAGCAACTGTTTGGGTGCACACGAGGGAATTGGATGTGTCTGGCGCCCTTGGCCATGAATTCAAGTCATGTTTTAAGGGCACACATGCACCTTAGCTTGTTTCTCAGAAATGGTGGTTTGTAACCATGTGTATGACTAAGGTAAGGCTATGCCAGGCGTGCGCTGCTGGCCACTGCAACATTGTGTACAATATATACACAAGTTGTGAGGATTACTCATGGATAAAAAGTGCACGAAAACTGCTTTCTTTATAGTGAATGTGTGAGGGGTAGTTTCCTGAGTGTTCAAAATGTAGTTCTCTTAGCCCAGATTTTTTTTTCTAGCACAAAATCTTTTTAGACCACAACTTGTTTCAACAAGGATGACGCCCTCCTAATCTGCCACACACGCCATCCCTTCCTTTG